TCACAAAAATACGCCCTGTTTTCACATGCACTATAAAACCCTATATTGTTTACTTTTATCCAAATGTCAATCATTACGCTAAAACTAATAGATGACCATATTAGGCAATGTTGTTCTCAGTATTCATCTACTTTACTTATAAAGTTGTTAATCAACTAATCCCAAATATAGCGAAATTAGTGTACTAAAGTGTCAACCTTCATAACACACTCCCCCATGTATGTTCTCGGAGAGATATACATGCCACTTTTATCTATGAATCGTTCAAATAAAGTTAATTGATAATTGTTCTTTCCTTGAATTCAGTTGTTTTCCTGCTCGTTCGCCGCCACTTGTTGGATACGTAGACGAGCTGCTGCTGCCGCTCCTCTCTTTGCTCTTCGTTCGAATGTCTCCGCGGTTGGATTTAGTGGCGTTGTTGTATCACATGACAATTCGAGCGGGCATAACTGTTGGATCGCTCTTTCGAGACTTCCTTTCGCGGTCTTCAGCCTTTCTCCCCTTACGACGTCGTCTCTTCCAACAATAAGGTCCGTCACTATCGCCAATCTCCAATGGTTTCTGTTCTTCTGCTCGTCCTTTATGATCACTGCCTCCCCGACTTGTGGGTGTGTTGTTTGTTCGTTACTGGTCGCTCGACGATGTTGTTCTCGCAGTCCTCGTATATACTCCCTACTCCATCGCTTCCACATCGCTTCTTTACACTCTTTGAGAAACCTAGCTCTTCTTCGGAGATCTCCATCTTCGATGTGGTGGGGGTCCAGTTCTGGGACGTTGTTATTGTTCAGGAAAATCATTGAATATGGTGTTAATACAGGCAGTTCTACGTCATCCTCGACATAACTCAATGGTCGGTTGTTAAGAGCCGTTTCGACGTCGATCACCACTTCCTCCAGTTCATCCCACTTCAATGTGCCATTTCCGATAGTTTTGTAGAACGCTGCTTGAACAGTACTATGAGACGTTCAAACTGCCCGCCCCACCACGGCGCATGGCTGAGGTTGAATATCCACTTGATGGACAGGTCAGCAAGGTTTGAGTTTAAACGTTCGTCTTTCTCCACCTTCTTAAACCAAGTACTTGCGGCTTTAAAGGTTGATCCGTTGTCCGAGTATATTATCTTCGGTTTACCTCTTCGTGCGATAAATCGCTTCAAACATGCAATAAAGTCTCCAAGTTCTAGTGACTTTAATTTAATAACTCTAGATGGACTGTCCTGGTCAAACTGCACGCGAACAGTGCCAGGTAAGCCTTTTTCTCAGATTTCCCTTTCGTATTATATCGGATTGGACCGGCAAAGTCTACACCTAGAACTTCGAACGGTGTCGATCCTTTCGTTCTTGTAGATGGAAGGGTGCCAGGGGGTGGGGTCTGATATGCTTTATCTCTGAATTTCTTGCATCCCCAACAACGGCGTCGTACTCGTTTGGTCATCTGGCGTAGTCTGGGTATCCAGTACGTTTCACGAACCTTTGCCATAGTCATAGTCACCCCGCCGTGTATGACAAAGAATGGGCTTGCTCTACCACTTTCTCGGTGTACGGATGGTCGTCTGGCAGGTAGACTGGGTACTCCCCTTCGATTCTCCCTCTGCATTCGAAGATGTGTTGATGGTTAGGTTGCAGGTTAAGTTGTAGCTTGTCTTTCTCGAAGTGAGCACTGTTCTGAGCATCTTGCTGAGTTCGCTTGATCCACCAGATCTTTTGCTGCTCGATTCCCGTGGTGTCCGGTGGTTCAAACTTTCGGTTCTTACGTAACTGTCGGCAATTTTGAATAAATCTCCGTACCCATGCTCCGATTCTGTGTACTTTGCGCAGCCCGTGGGACTCCAATAACACTTCTGATGGTCACTCTCATTTCTTCCTCAGTTTCTGGGGAAGCTTTCAGAACAATATCGGATGGCCACTTTGCTGCTTCGCTTAACCAGGGGGCCCTGGCTCCACAACGTATGGCTCACAACGCTTCCTCCGCGACTCCCTAGGTCCGCCGGGTTTTCGGTCGTCGGCACGTAGTGCCACTTAACATCGCGATGTTGCTGGATCTTGTGTACTCGGTTAGACACTAACTGTCGGAATTCTCCCTGGCCTTTGATCCAATACAACACCACGCTTGAATCTAACCAGCAGTGAATGATTTGTGGGGGATGACTAGTAAGTGCCGTTCTGACATTGGTCGCGAGGTTTACTGCCATGTGGCCCGAGACCAACTCCAGTCGCGGGATTGTCGGGTTCCGTTTCGCGAGACGGGATCTTGCGCACACAAGTCCTTATGTCGTCCCCTGCTCTTGCTCGACCACGGCGTAGACCGTCGCTGATACACCATCTTTACTGGCATCACCCAAGGCGTAAAGCGTGACTTCCTTTATTGGTTGTAGGTATGGAGCTAGTGTTCGCGGAATTGTGACATGTTCAGGAAGAGTAGCCGACCAGTTATCCCAACGTTTCTTCAACGGCTTTGGGAACTCCCCATCCCAGGGGACGTTGGACTCGCAAATATCTCGATACATTATCTTTCCCTCAAGCGTCGTCGGTGACACTATACCCAAGGGGTCGTATATATTTGCTAGAGCCGAGAGAACACCTCTCTTTGTTGAAGCTGATTTCTCTTTACCAACCGTAACGCTCGAGGTATCCTCGTTCTTGTCCCACGGCAGGCCCAATAGTTTGGCCTCGGATGAGTTCGATCCTAGTTGTTGCTTTGCGTATGTTGGTCCCACGTCACTGGTTGATTTAGCGTTGTCGTTTTCGAGCTCTTCCCTATTTGAATGCCACTTATGCAAGGCAAAAGTTGCGTCCTCAAACACCTCGGTTGTTGTTGCTTTCTTCTCTGCGACCTCCTCGACGTTGGGGCCTCCAACCATCGACCTGTCTACGTATAAGCCGTCCCCCGTATCTCTTTCACTACGTCTGGATACTCCAGTTCCCACGACTTGAGATGATGGCTGATCACTCCCCCTAGTAGGAATGGAGAACAGGTAAGACCGAAGAGTGCTCTCGTAAACCGATATATCACTGTCTTATCTTGACTGGGTGATCTCCAAAAGAACCTCAGAGCATCCCTCTCCTCTTCTTTGATCCGGACCTGTAGAAAAGCCTTTTCCAAGTCGCCAGTGAGTAGCACGGGATAAAACCTCGACCTGACCAGGATACTCCAGAGGAGGTTTTGCAAGGGGGGACCAGGGTAGAGACAATCGTTGAGTGATGGGTGGTGGTTGGACTCCTTCGCTGAGGCATCATACACTATCCGGAGTTTTGTCGATTCCGCTTCTCGCTTGACAACCGCTTTATGTGGAAGATAAAACTCCTTTTTACTCGGTTCGTCAGGTGGAAGTTCAATCACACCCTGCTGTAATTGGTCTTGAATTATCTGGTCGTAGCTGTCGTAATTCCCTTCGCGTCGCAACTTCTTCACAAGTTGTCCCAGTCTCCTTCGACTTCCTTGCTCGTTCGTCGCTGACAAGGCATGATGTGGCTTCCAAGGAAGGTTCGCTTCATACCATCCGTTTGGGCTTCTTCCAAGTTGCTCTTTGAAATCTTGATAGACCATCTCTTGATCATTTTCTTCGCTGTCTGCAATCCCTAGCACGTCCAGACGACAGAGGTTCTCGTAGTGACTCTGAGAGGTTTGTGTCATCAGAACAGTGGTTTTGTCAAAATCAGCCCCCGGGCCAGTGGCGTAGCCAGCCGAAAATTATTGGTCATGCTCCGAGCGACGAAGTCGCGAGGCTTTCTAGGGGGGCCTGGGGGCATGCCCCCCCAGAAAATTTTGAAAATTAGAACCCCGGAAATGCCATTTCCTGCGATTTGAGCATTGAATTCTAAGCTCCAATATGACCTCAAGAAGGGGCAAAACTTCGCAATTTTACTGTATTTTAGCCAAAAATGACAATGGTAAACTAAGGATCCAAGGATAGTATACAGCAATTTGCGTCCAAGCACAAACCGCAAACATTTTCGCGCGTTTGTTTATGTTTGAAACGGGGCGTTTACCGTTGGAAACGGAAATGTTTCACTGCTCATGCGACGTGTTACAGTCCAAAGCCTAATTCAGTTATTTTTCATGTTTTGATGTGCTTTTGTGTACGTCTCAGTATTTCCAAGCTCACGATATTGTAAGAGCGACCAAACTTGTTTATATTCATACTTTTTGTGACTAGAACGTATTATGCAGGTATCAGCGGCTTTCCCGGGGGGTCGACCCCCGGGCAACTCACGGGCAACCCCCGGGCATGGCACGGAATTTGTTTTAAAATCACGCCCCGGAGACCGGGGATTTAGCCTACATTTGTATTTTGAAAATTAACCCCGGGGGCAAACGCCCGGGATTTGCATATGGACTGCTGCTATATCGGTCAGCGGTGATTCATCAAAAAAATTCTTAATTATGATTTTTGAAGACGCTTCGAACCTTCGAAGTTCGAAGCAAATTCGAAGCATTTCGAAGCACATGAACAATATAGGCAATTGATAAAACTAGAATAGTGGAGCGAATAGTGCGAATAGTCGACGAATAGTACGAATAGTCGACGAATAGTACGAATAGTCCGCGAATAGTCGACGAATAGTGCGATTAGTCGACGAATAGTCTGCGAATAGTCGACGAATAGTCCGCGAATAGTCGACGAATAGTGCGATAGAAACTTTGCAAGGCTTTCCACCGTGCTGTAGAACTAAATTTACCGGGGCGGGGGTGGGGGTGGGGGCTCTATTGACAAACATGAAATCGTGAAAACATTCGTTGATGTCAATGACGTCACACGTAATCGGTAAAAATTACGGGAACCACTGAGTTTTAACAAATATTTAACAGGAAGTAGAATGACAGTCACTAGAATGACGTTTTCCACTGGACGAATTTGTTCGCGCGAAGCGACAAGTAAAAGAGTAGGAACTGATCCAACTTTTTCGCTTCGCGCGAACAAATTCGTCCAAAAACGGGCTTAAATAATAAATCGATACCTCCTCTTGTTTCGTGATGTAAATCACGTTTTCCGGCAAGCACACGAAATCACTTAAACCCTTAAATCTTCAGTTACAACGTCACAACTTACAAGTAAAATCCCTATAAAACTCCATCAGTAAAATTCATGACTCATATGGTTACCACTTACCATCAGGAATGATTATAAATTAAAAAAATATGAAATATGTTTCCTGAGACGATGACTGAATTTTAGTCGAAAGCTACAATATTAAAATGTTTATTTTCGAAGTTACCTTTGTTTTATATTTTATTAAAATACTCAGTGGTTCCCGTAATTTTTACCGGTTACGTATGACGTCATTGACGTACGTCAACGAATGTTTTCACGATTTCATGTTTGTCAATAGAGCCAATCCCCCCCCGGTAAATTTAGTTCTACAGCACTGCTGGAAAGCCTTGCAAAGTCTCTATTGCACTATTCATACTATTCGTACTATTCGCGGACTATTCGTCGACTATTCGCGGACTATTCGTACTATTCATCGACTATTCGCGGACTATTCGTACTATTCGTCGACTATTCGCGGACTATTCGTCGACTATTCGCGGACTATTCGTACTATTCGTCGACTATTCGCACTATTCGCTTCACTATTCTAGTTTTATCAATTGCCGAACAATATACCGTTGATTGCAACTATATAGCCTGCGAGCAGGCTCTCTGGGGAAAGAGAGCCTGCAAGGATCCCTTTGATGATTCGGTGCATGCGTCCAATATTTGGACGCAGTGCTCTGATTGGTTGATAACTGATTCATATGAAGTGATTGACAAGCTTCCATAAACTTACACTTCCCGTTTTGTAAAACCGAGCAACGCAAAGCTTCGGAATTGCGGCAATGTAGAGATAAAAGTGTCATGTATTTTGATCCTGGTTGACTTTTTACTGTAAATTAATATAGTATTCATATAAAGACGAATACTAAAAGCTTGCATGCTTTATTGTGGCCTTGGCTTGTCTGACTCCTAAGCTAAGAATAATTCTTGAGAAAGACTGCACAAATTCGCAAACCGAAACCTAGGGACAAGGCATTATATCGCTTCTCTTTTATGAAACAATATTGGGAATTCTGATAATATTCAGTGCATATTGTGTGTATTAAGCTTGTTTTACAATATTATACTTAAAATGTACAGTAATTTACTCGTCACTTTGTTTACAATAATTATCACATGCATGTTTACTGCAATTCCACTTTTTGTTGCAAAATTTAAACTATAAACATATTATTAAATTATGTCCAATGTCCATGGTATATCATATATGTCTATGTCTCACCAAAGCCATAAATTTCAGTAAGTTATATTATTACTATATATAGACTGTATACAGTGTATATTATATATTGCAGCACGAAGCAATTCCAAATAACTGAATTAGTTAGCGGGTAATATACAACTTTAAACTTACTGTGCCTACAGGAGAAACACATGCAGATTGTAATAAAAAGTACAACTTGATATATTGCTCTGTAAAACCTCGAGCCGTTTTAACTTTTTAGTATGCCACAGTGGCGGTCTGTATACGAAACTATTAACGAATTTGAAACGAATCGGTTTATGTTTACAATATCGTAGTGTATTCCGGTCTGCGCTGATTGGTTGTTATTAATTGACCTGTGACATCATAATTGAAGGGCGGCACGCAATCATCATAGGGATCCTTGCAGGCTCTCTTTCCCCAGAGAGCCTGCTCGCAGGCTATCTGCCGCAAAACTAGGGGTTTTTGAATTACCCGTCCGCTGGTGAACGGGAAAAACGGATTGGTTAGTATTTTTATGTAGTTGTCAATCAACGGCTAAATTCGGTTAAATGTTAATCATTAACCAAATGTTTTGACGTTTTGAAACTCTGCGTTTTGAAATTAGTTCACGTCAAGTCAGACCAGAAATGGAATAACACAAAAGAAGCAAATTAAAAGATACAAGCTGAAAAATAACACTCTAAATAGTGTTATTGATAGAGATTCGAACAAGAATATTTAACAAAGAAGATACGTCCGAAGGGGCCGAAGTTATATGATCGGCGAAAGGTATGGGCTAGTCTATATATTTTCGTTCAGACAATTACATGCGTCTTAATTTGATAATATACGATCTCGCTTGACTTTCAAAGGCCATAAATCGCAATAATGTTGACATTTTACTAAAACTATCGATAGAAATTAGGAGATATTTCTTCACTGAATCGAACAGTGGGATTTCCATATAGGCCTATCAGTCATGTTCTGAACCAAAGATACTTGATAGATATTATATAACGAACCTCCAAAGTATAAACAAGGGGCCGGTTGATGCAGTAATTATCAAATAACAGTTAAACTCTTATATACCCGTTGAATATGTATAGTTGTAAACAAATAAAAACTATCGTTCTATAAGGTTCAATACTTTCAGTTTGGTTGTTGACTGATGATGAATCTATAGTATAGACTTGCATGCTTTGTATTTTGAGCTTATTAAACCACCGTTTTAAGGCAGCTAACTGACGAGCTTGGTTTATATTAACACATAAAATAAATTCCTTGACTCTCATCACTAGACACAGTCTACACTTTGAAATGTCGAAGACAGTGGGAGATTTATTTTTTATATTTTATATTTATATAATTTATATATCAATAGTTCGTATCTCCACGAACAATGACAGAATGACTGAGTTTCTTTAAAATACAATGAAATTTCACTCAAAATTCTGTTTGTTTCAAATTGGAAGTTTAAAATGGCAATAAAAACTCTATATAAAATATGAAAAAATTAACTGTCTTGAATTATTTTGTCGGGCGGTACATTTATATTGTATAACGAAATATAAAACGTCAGTTTCATGAGGATTTTAAAATTCAGTCGGGCGGTGATGAGAATCAAGGAATTTATTTTATGTTGGGCAGTTGGGACTTGGGAGCAGCTTGGGAGTGGCTAATTTTGAATATTTACTTAATTAATGCTCTATAAATAGCGTTGATGCTTCAGGGGCGGTAGTTCATTTACACCCAGTTTTGCGGCAGGCGGTATTTCCTACGTACCGCCTGCCATGCAGGCTAGGGGACCCCCAGATATAAACATTGCCCAAATTTTGCATCTTTCGAACTTTCTTGAATTGAAACGTACAGTTTCTATCCATTTACAAGTATAGCGAACCAGAAAAGTGTTAGATATTCAGTTAGTATATCATATTTTACAATTATAGCAGTTCAAAACGTAAACAAAGTTCGCGTATGTGCACACGAGTGGGCATCATCTTTAAATATTTTGAAAGGTGTCAGTTCCAAATTACAGTTTCATACTTTGTCACCTATCAGTTAAGATATAAATAATATCAGAAGTATTTTTGATCATAGGTCTCACAGTTTGGTATACCCTTTCAATAGGGTGTTGTTAAGTTTAAAGCTGCAAATTTTCACTTATCAATCAACAACACAGAAAAAAGGTTACTAGCCAGAAAAGCTCTTCACCAAGGTTAATAGTCATGGGTTATTTCTTATGGTATATGTTGCTATGCAACTTAGAAAGTCACATAGGTCAAATAATATTTACATTCCAAAACTATCATTTTTTCCTGTTGATGTTATTCTTATATTATGTAGAGTTGTTTTTAATCCATTCAGCGCCAGCGCTCTCCCCTTGACAAGTAAAATCGTCTGGCATTAGACAGAGTAAAATAAAAAAAGTAGGGCGCATTTGGGCGCAATGGAACTTGATGGGTTCAAGAGAAAAATTCCAGTCATTTTAGCGGCTGTTTTGAGGGTTTTGCGCAGACTGTAAACACAATAACAGTCGAAAAACAAGTACCACAGTCTGTAATCCCTGCCAAAAATAAGATATCAGACTATATAATCCAAGTATAATTGAAGCCCATAAGTGTTTTTAATGACTTCTAATAAAGTCGGTTCTTAACTTTTTGTATTGACTTCTAAGATTTTAATAGAAATATTGTCTTTATAATGCCGTTCAAGGGCATATTGATTGTAATATAAATCCAATCAGCTTATCTCATCATGGAAAAATGTAGAAAAAAAATACTTGATAAAGAAAAAACAACATACTCGAAATAGCAAGATCTTGCATGTGAATTCAATATATGGATTGTTACTTTAAAACAATAACACGAAGTTCAAGAGATTCCAATTATTGCAATTAAATGGCTTCAATGGTTAATCTCGCAGACTTTTATATTGCGATTACGATTTAACATTTTTATAACGCAATTTTACATGTAGCTAATCACGTACTCAGCCTAGACTAATTTATTTCTTTTAAATTTTATAAACTTTGTCACAATATAAATTACACAATCTAAATACTGTAATGACTATAACACATTCCGAGCTATCCCTACATGTATCGACTTCAAAGACTCACAAACTGTTAAAACCATATTAAAACTGACATGAAAACCGGCGTAGATGCAAGACACATAGGCGTACCGGGCGGGGGGGGCGGCCGCCCCCCCAGTTTTTTGGGCAGTCGGGCAATATTCGATTAACAGTCGGGCAATTTTGGGTTGTTATAAAAAAAAATCGGACAAATTCTCTAATTTTTTTCAAAAATTTAGT